GTATGCCTTATTGGAATTAGAGAGCCTGATTCTTCTCTGCACGATATTGTCGTTTCTAAAATTGAAATAGTATGCAGAAATAAATTCGGAGAAAGGCACAGAAACGAGAAGGTTTTGGATGTCACATGCTGAAAATGCAGAGAGAGAACTGTCGCCTAATCAGGATACAAGTCATGCATAGCATATGGAATAGCATAATATCAACTTCTCTGATGAATCATGATTTTATTTAGTTGTAAATGATTGTCTATATATAACTGCCGCTGATAGAGACAGAAATTGAGAAGACTGTATTCTTACCTGGCATACTCCATCAAACAAGGAGCATTATTGCATCAAGTGCTATTGGATTTAACAACAGATCACCTCTTATACAATTTCAAGACATAATAAGAAGTGGTCGATATGACAAGGACATTCTACAACCATTCTGCATCTGCAACATCTCCTCAAAGTAATCTTCAAGTAAAACAATCCCTGTCCTCATACAGTAGGAACAATACAAACCTTCTTCAGAGTTAACGTTATTCCACTTATTCCTTCTTTGCCTAGAACATATAATTTATCCCCGTTCCAAATGTGTAGAATATGGTCAAATAAATAGTAAAACGCATTATGATAGTTTTCTAGCAAATCTTGACAAACTTCGGATGCAGTTTAATGCAACTTGGATGACTATTGCACAAGATACTATTAACCTTCAGTTCCATGGTACATAAAGCAAATGTTAAAAGCAGAGGTGAACACACAGAACACAAAATGTATCAATGGACATAATGCATATAATTTTGAAATACTAGCCATTTGTTCTATATTGCCTATTTTATATATAAAAAGGTTACAAACAATAAATAAAACAAAAAGAAAACAAAAAGTTATAATTTCACACAAAGGTTACATAGTTACACAAAAAGTTATAATTTAATTCCCTCAAAGTATTCTGTTTTATAAGAACAGTACTACATTTGCATATTCATATTTCATACATTGCTTTCCCATAATGTGTTTTCAGCTGTCTTTAAATGGTATGCCCCCTCTGAAGTGGCAGTTGTCCCTTTCATAGGTGCGATGAAATTACATTTAGTATTCTGTCTCAACTGCAGCAGATAATAATGTGATTTTAGGAAGAAATCTAGGGCAGGTCTCCTATATCTACAGGGTTATTTAGTTTGGGAAGCTTAAATAGCAAAACAGGATTATTTATTACACATGTTTTTATAAAATCGTAGATAAAGCCCTGGTTCAATCATATTCAAGATATTCCTGAGTGGCCTCGTAATAAATTGGTGGCACTGTTAACGTCTGTTTTCTGGCCATGATTATCTCCGAACATATTAACAAATTTAACTTGGCTCCAGATCCTGTTTGTCCTTTGTGCGACTCTGGACAGGGTTTTGGCCTTTCTCACCTTGCCTACTGTCCTGCTCTACCTCCTGTATTCTTGTGGGAGCGATATTGGATTGCCAGACTTGAGTTGACAGATTAACCTTTAATATCTTTTCATCTTTACGTTCCATTCTTTTTGTTTTAAAGATATCTGTTGCCCTGTGTACTTGTAACCTCTACATATGATAACAGAAAGAGTCTGTCTGTGTGTGATTTTTGTTCGCACTGTGCGTCCTCGAAGCGATTTTTTCAAAATTTAAATCAGGTTATTTTTTTTTAATTTTATCTTTTTTGATGAAATCGCATCATTTTGAATAGTTTCATTCTTTTAAAAATGTGGTTTGGGCAACAGCGTTTCATTCAATGCTTTGTATACTGTACTGCTGACTGTTGAAAATCTGAGATAAAATATTGAGTTAGAGCATAAGGCGCCAAAGCGAAGTCAAGCTTCAAGTAGAAGAATATTATTAATTATACTTTCCTTTTCAGATTTTTTTTGTGTGTGTGTGTTTCTTTCATGCTATTTATTGTTTATTTCACTTTTTTTAAGATACTGAAAAGTTTTACATTTTTTTTTTTTTTTAGGAAACAAAGTTTTTAGCTTCCTTTATACCATTTGAATTGATTTATCAAGGAGAAGTTGGTTAATTTATTTATTAGGATAATTCATGTTTGTATTAAGGGATACTGCTTATTTCATTGTAATGTTTTTATGCATAATACATTTTTATTGAAATTTTTTTGTTCGTTTGTTTTTTGATAAAGTTGTTCTGCAGAGAAAAACTGTGCAATTTTTTAAATTTAATGTTTGGTATTCCCTTTCAGCATTTTTCCGGTACATTTAAAAGCCAGACGAAGGATGGCCCCGTAGTGGCTAGTTGGAAATAAAATTAATAAATAAACTTGTAGATAATATTTTATGTATTGCAGTGAAAGGACTATAAATTATATTCTTTACTCTGGAGGATTTTTGGGGGGAGGGTCCATGCTTATATTTATATAAGTGGCATGGTAAAAACATAAAAATTTTTTGAATTGATCATTGTTTAATTATGATTTTGCCTAGGCTAGATGCTGTGTTTAATAGGATGATCTCAGCAATAGCAACTTAATAAATCAATGACTGAGGAAATTCAAATGTTACATATAAACATTAGACAGTCCCTGTGTTGATACTGTTGAAAGCTGTCATATATCAGATGAATCACCATAGATTGTTTTTTGTTGGCATGCCAGTCATAATTAACAGCAAGTTTATTTCCATGTTTCTGGGAGCAATTCATTTGGTCCCAAAAAGAACAGAGCAAACAGAATAGTTGAAAGATTGTTTGTTTAATAGTTTTGTTTTCAACTTCAAAATAGCAAGGTCAGAGCTAATATGGGCAATGAGACATCACTTCCCAACCAAGTCCAGTAATTTCATACATGTTGCTAATGGTGTACGAGGCCTTGCACTGGCACAGTGAAACACGATTCCTTTGTGATTTGCCAATTCTGGCCCTTTTCTCTTAGATTGCTAGTTTTGCACCAGAAATCCACTACAACCACCACCATCTTTTTTAATTGCTTCCTCCAAGTTCACAAGTTGTTGGAAGTAAACATCCGAGTTGATTGGTTTCTTAGAAGTAGCTTAAAATACACAGCACCGACAGCATAATCTTTCTCTGGTGCAATTTATCTTTCAATATGATATGTGCAGATTCATATTTTGATTAATGCTATTGTAGATGATCCATTTTTCATCACTACTGATAGGTCATTTGAAAGAAGGTTAGGTTGCATTACATTTGAAATAGACATTTTAAATAACGATTCATTAATTTTGCGCTATGTGCATTTCTTTCAACTCATATGGAAGCCAAATACTGAGTTTTTTAAAGTGATTTTCAGTTGTTACGTACAGCACAAAGTCTTTAATACGGACTCAAAGATACAAACTTTCTGCGCATACGTAAACGCATAATGTGTTTACGCACCGCATGCGCATAATATGTTTACGCATGTGCGTTTAATGTATAACGGATGGTATAAGCTAGGCTAAAATTACCTAATTATCTATTTCAGTTAATGTTGCACATTGCGTTGTTCCTTAATCTTCTAATTGGATTTGGCTTATTATTTTTTGCAGACTGTTAGAGCAATTTTATAAAAAGTAAGCTCGAACTTTTGCTTATGTCAAAAAGAGTTTCCGATTCTGGAGCTGCCAAAGGTTCTACAAAGCGAAAGCATGTTTCAATGTCCATCAAACAAAAAGTGGAATTGCTGCAAAAAATGGATAAAGACATATCCTTCGTTTCTCTAATCATTCAGAGATCTGTTTATCAGTTTCAAGCAGAGCCGGGGGGGGGGGGCGTCGCACTGTGCAAATTAACTGGAAGTTGATCTGACAGCACTATCCTCATCTTCAGGGCAAATGTTTTTATTTTATTCGGCTTATAATTCGTTACTAAATGTAGTATTCCATCTTGATGTACTCCGTCTTTGATATGATTTAAATCAAATTCCTCGCCATTATAAATATTACGAATACACATCAAATAGTTTTCTGGTTGCAATTTTCTAATTTCGACTATGCGTAATGGATGCTTTATGCATGCGCGCGTTGAAAGAAATATTTAATAAAGTAAACAAATTAATATTAAGCTCCTTTTTTTTTTGCAAATTTTGATACCCTTTAGATCATAACTGCTCTTTATTTCATAAATTACGGTTTCATATTTTTAATTTTATAATTTCTGCATGCCATGTTATCAGATTTAAATTGATGATCTATAATCCGGAATCACCGCAATCCCGACGAGTCCGGATTAAAGACTTTGCACTGTATAATACACTTAATCTTTTTTGCAATCTCTTGCACAGTTATATGATGATTTGATTTAATTATGACTTTAATTTTCTCATCATCAACTTCAGAATCAACACTATAAACTTCACATAGCTCTGTAAAGTCTCAGCTGCTCTCTAGCCTTTATGAAAATAAAGTAAAATATGTCAAAAATGTTTATTTTTGCACCTCATGTTAAAATTGACTGTAAACTAACATTTGTATGGAAAAATAAATGGAATTAGTTTTTATAGCAATTAAAAGTGTCAGCAGCCAAATCTCAAAAGGAAAAAAATATATATATAATTGACAGATGAATAACAAAACGAACATAATGCTATCTATTTGTGCAAACCGAAATTACTTTCTTGCCAACCCAATACTTTTAAAGAATGAATAATATCTTGTTCGCACTTTAAAAAAAATCATTTTGCCTTTTATAATGAAATTATAAAAAAGATAAATTGGTTATTAAAGTTTTTTGTATAATTACATGCAGTTAAGTACTTTGCCTTTATAAATAAATAAAATAAATAATAAATTAAAAATAAAAATAAATAACAAAATTAAAAAAATATTTGAAAAAATACAGAGAATACACTCATTTTCATAATAGATAATCTAAGCCTTTTCTCCTGAAGAGAATAAAACTTTCAAGATTTTCCAGTCTAAGAAATATCTAACAAAAATTATAAAAACATAAAATAACTCTTTAAAAAATATGTGTTTATTTAGCTCACTTAAGCATGGAAAAAGATGTCAGACCAGAAGAAAATCATACCATAAGTCAATCAAAATATTTTATTCTGCAGTTTTAATACAACATTCCATAAAACATATTTCCATACATGAGGATTTTAAAAATACAAATTTAAAATCAAATCTTTCATTCTTTGGAAAGCACTGACCAGCAAAGTAAACTTGAACAATTAAATATAAAAATACAATTGCAAAGTGAAATTTGGCAAAAAGCTACTCCTTCCCCCAAACAAAACCCTTTAAAAGTACATAACACAACTCAGATTGATTACAAAAAACATCACTTTAAAAATGCATCACATACAGTAGACTCACTCTTGTCGACATCCCATTAATTAGCCTCCATTTTAACTGATCATATTTTCATAGATTTCCAATCATGGAGCCAGTTTTTGAGGAAAACAATGTGCATTGTATTATGTATTATTTCTTCTAGAAGTAAGCAAAGTTAAATAAGAACACTGCTAATCATTGTTTTGAAAATTCAACCGCCAACAAATACTTTAGTGGCGGTAATATATCTGTGCCTTTAAAATCATGATTATCTATCTCAGGTATGCACTTTTTGTTAATTAGTTTTTGTGATTTTTTAAAACATTTATGTTAACTTAAAATGATGACCTCACTAATGGGAAAAAACATATTAATTATTGAACTAACACTCAAAGTATTGGAATGCAAAATAAAGAACTTGCAGGCCAAACACTTAATGGATTGAATGTCAGAAAACATGAAGGGAATGATTGGTGGGAAATCCCTTCAAGATTTTAATCGGCAAATAAATCTGGAAAATGTAGTATAAAGAAATGAATGAAGAATAAAAGAAAATTTATAACCCCAGTAACAGAAATTTAAGTGTTTAGATTGTAAATTGTCTCTTTCTTTAAAAAAATCTGAACAGCTGTTGAATATAATGCATGTTTTATCACTGTGAATTGAACAATTCCAAAAAAACTTTATTACATTCCTTAAATCAGAATTTACAGTCAAAAACAAATTAATACACATCTAAAATGATAATTTTAAAAACAATCTGAGGAGAAATATTCTTAGAAGACAAGTAATGCTAATATTAAATACTGCATTCACTTGCATGTTTTCCCTCTCTTTTTATTATTTTTATCCTACAAATATTGAGAGTATTCATTGATAACAAATGTAAAGTATTCATGGATAAATTTCTGATAGTTATAACAATATTATTTTAAAAGAAACCTACATTCTAATAAGAATACACAATAATATTAACATTGCAATATCTAATAAAATATCTTCATTTCTACTTCCCTAATTTGAATCTCACCTGCTCTTATAATGTTGTCATTTGCTATTTTGTAGGCCTTAAATCATTTAATGTTGCTGAAAATGCTGTTTGTGTTATCTACTACAGTTTGCAAGTCATCACCATAGTTCCTGTTGTCATGATAATGCCCAGTCTGTCTCAGGCAGAAGATGCAATGATCTTCAGAACCATCTAGAGCAGGGGTACGCAAGAGAAATATAGGTGGTATGCAAAGAAGCAGAGTATTTTTAACTATTAAATTCAAAAATTAAAACCCTAACAGCCTGATTGAGTTTTCTTTCTAACACTTATAAATTTATGCAATCTGAGATTTGTTCAAGAGTGGTGGTGGTAATAGTAATATAGTGGTGGTACTAAAGGTTTCAAATTTTTGTTTAGATGATATATGTTAGTCAAAAGGTTGAGAACCGCTGATCTAGAGTATTAAATGTCCCCACTTTAAGTTCACTTTAAGCTCCATGCTATTATTAATTGCTTCATCAATCAGGATGAAATTCATGAAAGGGTGAAATTACATGAATATTGAGTGAATTTGCAGAACCCTGTGCTAAAAGGCTAGAGGAGAAATATGCAAGAGGGCTAAATGTGCCAGTAAATACAGTATAGTTTAAACATTATCCTTCTATATAGTAGTCTATAATGATGATAAAAAAAATCTTATACCAGCTAGTAGTTGAGTAAATGCAAAATATTTAAAACATAATGAATTTCACTATCGTTCAATAATAAGGAAAAACTATGATTAACTAAGCAAAAAAAAAAAAAAAAAATTAAACAAATAAATTGAAAACCAGTATACAATTAAAATATTACTGTGCACTTGAACAGAACTACAGTTACTGTCTTAACATTTTTAAGCATATTACACACCCCAAAGAAACTCCTCATATTTACTATACCAGTTCCCGTTGCAACTTTTTTCAAAGTAATTTAGTGTCACTTCTTACTTTTTCTCTTTCTTCAATGAACTATTTTTATAATGAAATTTCACAATCAAGCTATCTGTCAGAGGCCTGAAAATCGATAAGCAATGGAATGTAAAATATTATAACTAATTTAAATTCTTTGTAGGCTGTATCTGTAACTTGTATCTGTGATTATCTGATCCAATAAAGAGCAATCTGTTATTTCAAACTGGAACAGCTGGCACAAGTTTGGTGAGATCTTCACCAGTTTTTATGGTCAGGGGGATTTTATAAATTGGTTAAGACATTTTTACTTTTATATATTTTAGGCCTATAAAAATATATCTGTTTTTATATCTGTTCGCAATTTTTTAAAAAATCTCGCATAATTTTAAATCTAGGCTTATGTTAACAAGGAGACTGACTGTTTTTATAATTTTAGACTGAATACTTTCTCTTCTATGAATTTAATTTTTTATTCTCTCCATTATCTGGAATTTCTGTGTATCCAACATTTCCCAAACTTTCCGGATAGTCGAGCTTTCACTGTACTGTTTTTTGAAATTTTATCCACTTGCTACTAGCAGACTGAAGAAAGGGATGTATGTAGCCAAATCTCGCAAATATCTAAATGCAATTTTCTTCTGCTAACATGTATTTTTCTTTGTATTGTATTTTGTGATATTGTATTTTGTGATAAGTTAACACATTACATGAAGCATATGTTCTTCAGCTCATATGTAAATGAAATGTTGCAAGATTTACTTTTATTTTCCTCTCTCTTTTAACTTGAAAATATTCATCATTTGAATTGAAAACATCTGATCATTTTAATTTAAAGATAATACTGAACAGCACATTACAAGTTTAAGACACATTTTTTTACATACTCAGAAACAATAAAATCTGAACAATTCATGCAATTATCGTAAGTCAGAGAGATATTTGTAAGCATTGAAATACAAAGAATTTTTGTTTTTTGTTTTTTCCATTCTGTAACAAACATCACCAACACTTTTCATTAAATACACAAGAAAAGCTCTAGCACTATTTCACCAGCAGACATCCCTAAAGGAAAGAAAAATGTTAAAATGCATTTCAAATATTTATATAAAATATACTAGAATTGTTTTGTATCAGTTAAATATATAGTATTTGCTTATGCATTTTCTCCATCTTTTCTTAATTTAATTTCCTGAATATCAAAAGGGAAAATTACATGATGTATACTAGTGGTCTTTAACTCAAATTGTAGGTAGAATGAATGCATAATCTAAAAATAGCCAACAGGCATATCTTTTTCCTTTTTCTTTTTTTAGCGAAATGAAAATTCTTCATCAATAAAATAAAAAGTATTTTAACTAAATTTTAAAATTCACTTATGAAATTTTTATTCAAACATACCTAATTAATTAATTATGCTCAAAATAGTAATTAATAATGCTCGAAAGAGAGAAAAAAATTTAATTTATAATTTATCTGAAATCTACCAACAAGATATTTTTGTTGGTTACACTCTGTAATTCAAACATACTGACAGCTAAGCATAAATTTTCATGTTAATACTTCTTTCAAATAATTACGGTACGTTTAATAAATAATTAAATAATTTAAATTAAAAACACAATTATGAAAACTTTCTAATTATTTCTAATTTTCTAAATTATGAAAACTTTAAGTTCATATGAAAATTTTTCCTAGTGGAACAAAACTTGAAAATAAATAATGATAACCAATGACAATTTCTCTTACTTAATAAATTTTTCTTTGATGCATAAATAAAACTCCATATGATTGTATATAAATAATTATAAACTTCTGTGTCTCTTATTACAGCCTGACACAGGATGGCATTTCAATTCTGATAATGGTTGCAGCCTTCAGAGACATTACTAAAAATTACTTCTTCATTTTATGGATTACAGATGCTCATTAGCCAATTAGGTTCTCTTCTTATTAATTTTCAATTGGAAAAGAAAGCTGTTCACATATAAATGTATTCCCAAATAAAGGTATTATTCTTACTGCAAAAATTTGTAACCGAGTTTATTTATTTTTTGACAAGTACATATAAAGGTTAACAAAACTTGTAGCTTCAAATATTTGAATAAGATTTAAATCACGCTGCAAATTAATCAGGTCCATTTATAGATTTTCTGGTTTTTTTACACTTGCAACATAGTTAAACAAAGTTGCTTCAGGGAGTAGGTAGCCAGGTTGAGACCATTCCTACATATCATTTCTAAAGCCAAAAGTTAAAGAAAGAGCTTAATAAATTACAAAACACATACAAAAAAGATGTATTACTATTATTAAGTTTCAAAAAATCAGGTAGTTACTTCTTTCAACTCTATTCTCTTAAACAAGGTATCTGCTATAGATTCATACCTTGTATATGACTATTAGCCATATATTTCTCAATAATATGCTGAAATTACTAGTGGAAAACATGTGAGTAAATATATTATATTTACATCAATGGAAACTTTCATAGAACACTAAAAGTAATTTCATCTTGAATAAAGTTACTTCTATCGAAGAATTTTAACCCTTATTTCAAAAAACGTTTTTTTTTTTTTTTTTTTTTTTTTTTTTTTTTTTTCAGTGTTCTCATTACTGACTTTGAGAACCTAATTACTACTGCATCTAAACAAATGTGTTAAAGTTAATGCTGTTTACAGGATTTAGGACTACAGTAACTGTGAAGAAGGACTGCTATTCATGCACAGTACTTTTTCTTCTTATTTAAGACTGTAAATAGCAAAGTACAAGTTAGCATTTAATTAGTTTGACCATTACAGACAAGTTTACAACGGTTTGATTGGTTACACTATCATGAAAATGAAATATGTCAAAAAGATATTGCAGTTGTTAGCACACTCGTAATTGAAGTAATTCATCTTCAATTATGAGAAACATGTCATGAAAAATATATGAAGTATATATTTTTCACGACAACACTTGATATTAGATTTCAAAACATTAATAGCAAAACTACACATTTTGGCTGGGAAATTCTCCAGTCTCCCAATGTACAGTCCAAACTTAGTTCCATCAGTATGTCAAGCTTTCATGCATTGGTATTTGTAGAGATTCATAAGAGGAAATGCTTCAGTTCAACTACAGATACCCAGATCAATGAAGTGCCTGTAGGTAATTATGCATTCAAGAAATAGACTTTTAAGAGAAAGGTACACTAAAGTTTTGGCAACGATGGGAGAAATATCTTAAACTACTACTGAAAACTAACTACTATTTGCAGTTTCCCTGTGTATGTCACCTGTTTTCTTATCTACAAATTTTGTGTGTGTGCTGGGGGGAAGTAATATTTTAGTACATTTAATTACAAATTAACTAACTGCTATCATAAATCAATACAATATGAGCTGGTTTATATCATTCTGCAGTTACTGATGCTTGGGCTCATGAAATCAGAACACAAGTTTTTTAGCTTTTAAGTCGAGGCTTTTAAGAATCATCTCTAGATGGAGTAAGTTGGTTTGAGAGGCAGCAAATGCATGGCAAGGGAAGTTGAGTTGACCAGAACTTAAATGAATTAAGAAATATCTTGCAGCAAGACAGTGTTTACTATAAAGGCAAATCCATTATATATGGTACGAAAGGAAATCTCTTCTATAAATAAATCTGACCAGTATAGTGCCTTGCTGATTACAGGCATACAATTCACTAATCAGAAAAATTAAGAATTCTAAAAGAAGTCCATGATCTACTTTGGGCTGCAATTTCAAAAGACAATAAAGAAGATAACGGTAATAAAAAAGAAGAAAAAAAAAAGAAATCCCAATTTTCAGGAAAGCATTATAAAAATTAGTGTGCATGGATTATGAATTCAAAAATTACTTAAAAAATGGAATACAACCAGCCCACTCATGGGATTTGAACCTCTGACTTAACTACTAGTGTTCAGCAACACCGCTTGGTGGGCCCATTTCTGTTTTTATGAAATCTCTATTATATAATATATCAAATATAAAATTATATCAAATCTAAGATGATATTGTTGCGTGCGTACAGGTTCGTCACGAAATGAATGCACAAGTCCGATGAAAAATGAACAATTTATTATTATCACAACAAAAATGCTTAAATTTCTTCGGAAATTATGTACAGTATTACAATATCTCACAGTAGTTATCCTTTTAACTACTCAAACGTTCCCAATAGAACTTAATTCAAAACAGCTAAAGAAAGCTAATCTGCGAATTTGCTACAGAGCAACAAGAGCAGTTTTCCAAACAAACTCTTAACACAACAAATAACTACTGGCAACTAAATTACAACAACAACAACTGAATTGAGAGGCTTTCCTCCTTTTTATAAGATTTTTAAATTGCGCGCGAGAACTTTTTTCGAAATCAAAAAGAGATATTTATTTATTTATTAAATGTTAAATGCACGTCTTCTTGTATTTTCAATTTTCCGGCTTAGCTTTCTCATAATATTCGTCACGTGCACTGCACAGCACGCAGGAAAATAAAAACCAATTTAATTTACAAGTTCTGCTAACATTAGCTATTTAAATACCAAATCTGTAACAATATATAGAAATTACTCTTAAAAATTAATATCATTTGCTATTTCAGTCAAGTTCAGTCAAAATGTTCTTTTTTAAAATTTAAAATAGAATTTTCATGAAGTTCTAATATTTGAACTACTGTAATATGATATAAATAAAATCTAACACTTCTTATACACTTACTTGTTGATTTAATGACAATATGTACATGACGGATGGCATTTGCTGCCATTTACTCCACATCTACAACCAGCACTCGTATCACCTTGCCCCTGAAAAATATTTCTTTTTTAAAATTTCAGATTATGATGGAAAAATTAAACACAACAGCAACAAGCAAATCAACATAAATAATAGAAAGGACTCAAATTTTGAAAGTATTCTCAACTTTAGGCTGTGAGAGAATAAGGGACACAAGTCAAGTTTAATGAAATAATTATAATAATTATTTAAAACACATGAATTCAATATCTAAAAATTATTGATATATTATTATTTATTTTTATTTAACTACTCTACATTCTTGTTGCAGTTATTTCAGTAAATACAGTGATTTATTCACTCTTTAATATTTGCTTCATAGCATTAAAATTGATGATTAGAATGTTAGAAAACAAACACATTTCATTCACTTTTTTTAATTCGAATTTTTTTAGTTTATGTCAATTACAGAATGCTAATGTCCACAAACAGTCTACGTAATATTAATACACATATTACTACAGTGATTACTACAGTTACAGTAGTTCATATTACTACAGTTTCAGATTAAATAAACACATTTTTAAATGTCAAAACATGAACATCACACAGCCATATGGAATTGAAATCAAATTCTGTTGAAACACTGAACATATCAAGTTTACAAAATGATATAAATAGATAATGTTATTCCCCCTTATATGGACAAGAATGCAAATTATAGTGAGTAAACCAGCACCAGCTACAGTTGTGCAGTATTATACCAGATATATTTAGTTTTATAATTGGGTCCAAAAAAAGGAAATGCATAAACTATGTTTGTAACCATTATTCACAGATACTTAAGCTAAGCAAACTTTATTCTTTCTAACAATTCCACCACAAAAGACGCCATTAATTGGCAATATATTATATTTTTTTATTTTGATAATGGGAGTACAGTATCTTCATTTAAAATACAAAACACTGCTGAGAATCACAATGCATAACAAAAGGCCTAAACTTGATTCAATGTCAAAAGTATGTCTGCTATGAACATGCAAATACTAGACTGCAAGTTACTGAAACCAGTCTAATAAATTTTATTTTCTGTTTCCCATAAAAAGGACAGAATGTATAAATCATAATCTTAAGAAGATAATGACATGAGGATATATAATGGGACAAAAACAAGCTGACAAATACTGCTTTGAGCTACTTAGGTCTGGTTCTTTCTAAACCAAAACTTTCATGTGTACTATTTACATGCACCTTACTGTAGAGTAAAGCATATCCAATCATGAGAGCTCTTTGGAAGAACCACCTTTTCGCACAATAGCGACAAATGTTATACAGTATAAAGTTCCAAATCCGGACGTCCATTATCCGGAATGATCTAAAATCTGGACTAAAGCTGCAAACATTTTTTTTTGTGTGTGTGTGTGTGTGCGTGTGTATGCTTTATGCATGCGCATTTGATTTTTGCTTCCATAATAAAGTATGTAGAAATTATCACTTAAAAATTCCGATTTTTTATTTCACTTACGCACTAAATAAAATACCTCATTATGGAAAAACAATCAAGTAAGCATAAATTTATAAAATTAATAATTTGGCTCCGTAGCTGAGTATCTGCTTGGCATATATAGTAGTACAATTTTTGAGACAGATCGTTAATAATACTATAAATAGAATAAATATTATTTTCTTTTTGGTTACTTTGGGTTACCGGACTGGCAGCGTTGAGTTGTAGTAGCCAAGTTGCTACAATACTCTCCCTCCAGTGCTAACGATACCTTACAAATACTTTGGGTTGATACGACCTCGACGACCCGAGTGTGTTCTTGTCGTAGCAACTGATAAGTCGGAAGTCATGGTTTCTGTTGAAGGCTTGGAAAAGCTTGCACTGAAGTCCATTGGAGATAGATGTGGATCATGACTTCGACGGCCCTTCTCGTTTCCCTGATCGTTATAACGACAAGGTGGGCAGCATTTGATCGCCTTGTTTCCAAATTTGTGGTGGTAAAAACAAATACCCGGAGGAGGGCTTTCACAACATTTTCTCAGTGGGCTACGACATGTATATCAACCACGTGATATAGAGCAGTTGCGCTGAAAAGGTTCAATTTGGATGACTATTAACTGAGCAACCTGTTCGGACAAATCATCAATTAGAGCCTATAACGCCACAATAACCTGGACCAGGAGCCTGCACTGCGTGTATTTGCACTGGAATGGCCAGCTTGTGAATTTTATCAGCAATTTCAGGAAGATTTTTAAGTGACTCGCTACTGGTTGCTAAAATGGCTTGCATGTTAGATGGGAGTCTATTCATAAACTGTTTTAAGAATGTTATCCATTAGGGTACTGGCGGCTAAGTCTGACATTTTAGACAGCAATTGAGAAGGCCTCATGTCACCCAACTGTAAATCGTTCAACAGCTGCTTGATTTTAACTGTCTTGGATCCTTCATAAACAGAAATAAATTTTTTTTTTTTTTAAAGATTTGTATTTGTCCATTGCCGGTGGATTCAAAATTATTTCATGAGCTGATTGCAGTACCTCTGATTCTAACGTGGCAATCGCTGTATAAAATTGAGTTTCGTCGGCAGTAATGCGATTCAATTTAAACTGTACATCCAATTGAATGAACCATAACGATGGGTCTCGGCGACAAAAAGGCAGTGGCTTAACTGCCACTCACGCCAATTGTGGAGCAACATCATTGTCAACCATTTTAGTCAATCAAATATGCATAATAATAATATGTATAGAATATGCACAATAATAATATGTAAAAAATATGCACAATAATAATATGTATAGAATATGCACAATAATAATATGTATAGAAAAATAATCAATATGTATATAGTGACACACTTTCTTGGCACTTGAAATCAGAGAAATTGGCGGCTCGAATGCAGCAGACAATACATATATCCGTTAAAATTATGAAAGAAATATGTTGATTCACCAGAATGCGGCACAACACTTGAAATCACAGGTGAAATGTCTTACTTGCATCTCATCACACTGGATAACTTACTGTTGCTCAGAATTTTGACATATAAGCTCCATATTCGTGCAACATTGAAGGTTGCTATTCGTAATAAATATGGGTCACCAATTATGGTAGTATAATTTTTGAGACAGATCGTTAATAATACTAACAATAGAATAAATATTATTTTGTTTTTGTTTGCTATGGGTTACCAGACAGGCAGCATTGAGTTGTAGTAGGCAAGTTGCCACACATATATCACAAACTCAAACATTCACCTATTTTACATCCTTGATGCTGACTTGGCGAGTCATTATTTATTATATTTTGCTTTCATCATTGCATGTTTATCAATACATGACAGCTTCAGTAATAACTCATGCAGCGATGTCTAAACTTTTTTTATATTAGGAATTGAATAAAAAGAGTATGGCAACCTTTTATGCTAACATTACACTTGGCGATGATTATAGATTTTTAAATGCTCTAAGAAATGTTGACGAGGAAAAATTCAACAAAAATTTCTTTTCATATGCTAAAAATAGATTTTGTTAATGAAACTCATAGGCCAAAAGATTACATTTAGCGCTTTTTTAATTAAGAATAACTGATATGTTATTCACCATAAACCCAGAAGCGGTGGAAGAATATGTCGGCACCAGACGGCAGAATTTAGGGAAGACTAAACATTTGGAATTTGGGGAAGCACCGAGCAGCAAAATTAAGAGATGAAAAGTTTTTTATGATTTAGGGAAAGCACTGGGATCCAAAGTTTAGGCTTGGTGAAATTTTAGAACTTAGGAAGGGCTCTTTGTAACAGAATTTAGGACCCGTAGAGACTGCACCAGGCGGTATCTAGTGCCGGCTCTAGATAAAGCCTAATGTGGGAGTTTATTTATTCAGGACTCAGATTAGTTTTAAGCATGTGCAAGAAATAAATATAGGTATAGTAAATAAATAACTAAACTAATACAATTCAGGCTTAATTCAGTATGCAGTAGGAGCAGGACACAATTTAGTGAAACAACTTGGCTTTCATCGCCAATCTTGTGATACATAGCCGAATGTATAACGGATGCTATTAAGCTAGGCAAAAATTATCTTTACTAATTCTAAAGCACAGTTAATGTAACAGATTGCGCTGCTCCCTAATCTTATAAGTTGATTCAGCTTATAATTTTTTGCAGACTGTTATTATTATGGCAATTTTATAAAAACTAAGCTCGAACTTTCGATTATGTCGAAGAGAGTTTCCAATTCTGGAGCTGAAAAAAGGATCTATAATCCATCTCAAAATTATGCGAGGAGTATGGCATTGGAAAGTCAACTGTATATGACATAAGAAAAAAGGAAAAGGGAGTTTTTTGTGGAAGCAACTTAAACAACTCACATTGAAAGAAATGTTTAATAAAGTAAACAAATAAATATTAAGCTTTTTTTTTTTTTTGGTAAATTTTGATATCCTTTAGATCATAATTGTTCTTTATTTCATAAATTACGATTTCATAATTTTAATTGTACAATTTCTGCATGCCATCTTACCAGATTTAAATTGATGATCTAATATTGGGAAAAATAAAAAATCCGGAATCGCCTAACGAGTCCGGGACGCCTGAAGTAGTCGACGAGTCCGGATTTCGGACTTTGTACTCTATATCTGAAGCTGAGAATAAATTGTTATGTTTTCTGAACACGAAAAAATTTCTAAGTTTTGCCTTAGGATGTATTCTGCTGATATTTGGTCATGACAATGAAAGGACAGTTTACCAGTCAAAATGTACTAAGTCTTTCTAAGTTCTAACTACTGCTAATCTAAGGCTGGTATTTGCTTAGTTTTAAGCAAACAGCTACATGCAGAATGCATTTACAACATAATACTTTTTATCTAAACCAATGGCATGAAACTATTTAAAAAAAGAAAAAAAACTTTCCTTTTTGTATGACCTATAGAAACTATTTTCATCACTGAGAGATCAACACATAAATAAGTCTAACCTCATGACACAATATATATTATACTGTATTGATATACCTAAATTATTTTTTATAATAATGAGTGATTCCTTTTGCATATAATGCTTATCATTTCATAAGCATTATACGTAGAAGTCATTTCAACATCTAATGCTTATCAAATGATAAGCACTGATATATGCAGAAATGATTTTATTATTTAAAAATGACTTATAATTCAAACTTTATTATCTAAGGATCAATAAAATATGACCAGCGTCTTTTAGTATAAATATCCACTTCTAAGGGATGAAAAGATTATATATAAGGGTTAAAAAATTGAAGATAATTATGTTTAGACTCGATGATTCACTGTTGTTTTACTCTATTATTCCACCATTTTGTTTAAACTAGCCACAAACTAGCAGGATTTTAATTTATAAAGCAGTGCTTTTCAAATAGATAATAACTTTATCTTGATGCAATTTAATTTTCCAGAAGGACATTAAGGAACAGTGGGTTTCAGCTTTTATCATAGTGGCAGTTCTGGCAAAAAACTTTATAACAATATTATAAGAAGATTAAACAAAATTTATTCAATAACTTTATTATTTATATAAAGAACAGATTTCTTTTCTAAAATTTCATTCTATTTTATATTCTATGGAACAAGATTTAATGCTATATATCAACTTAATGACAAATAATAAAATCATATTGATTTATAACATCTGTCAACAAATTTATTAACCCTAAGTTTGATAAGCCATTAGCTTAATATTATGATACTAATAATCAAACTTTTAAATGCAAATTAAATTATATGTTAATTACATATAATTATACAATAATAAAATATATAGATGTATATACCCAGTTTACATGCTAAGCAAAAGCCATTAAAAGAAGGCAGTTTTAAAAAGAGGGGAATGATCTAAAAAGTGGATTGATCAAGAGGGAAATGGTCTGATATAAAATATGCGGTCACTTCTCTTTTTTATTGTTTTAGTACATAAAAAGACCAGAAGAAAATGTTATATGTAATTAACATATAGTATTTCTTCTGGTCTATATGTTTCTTAAATTTCATAATAAGTAATCACCAGCACTTCAGAATTTTGTAAGCATTATATTTAAAATACTATGTAAATCATTTGTGAAAAAAAAAATGCAAATAATACATACGGCAGGTCCCCAGCGTGGGCCTTTTGTAATCCAGCAAATTTCAGTATGACAAATGGAACATTTTAACCAATCACAACCCCACTTTTTCATTAATATTAAATCACATTTCGGACATTTCATAGCTTTCCCATCATCAATCATTTTCTAGAGGAAATATAAGAAACATAAATAATTACAAATAGAAGTAAAATTACAAATATGCTGACAAAAAAATTATTAAACAGATATAAAATTATATTAATTATCTTTATAAACTATAGATATCCTATATACAGGCCGACATATATCTTATCAGAAATGCTAACAATTTCATTTTAATTTTAAATGCCTAATTTTAAGAAATGAAAATAGCAACAGAGTGTTGGGAAGTTTATGATTTAAATCAAATTCATTTTCTTATCTATATATCAATTAGAAACAACACTTTCAGGACTAGAGCATTTCATGGATATGACTGGAGTTTTATCCTTTCTTGCATACTCATTTAATCCTACCTACTTTAAATATCATAACAGTTACTTTTAACTAAAAAATTCTCTTCTTTCTGTCTATTTTCATGTAAATGATTAAATTGAGCCTTCATTAGAATATAGTTAATCCTTAATTCACACATCAAGAATCGGAAGATCCAGTATCTTAGCATAGTTGCAAATCTTGCACTCTACTTAACTACTTATATTCTCTTATTGAACAAAAGACTTACTATTAAAATGAACATTAGATTAATGCATATTTTGCATATAATATGTACTATACACTATGTTCTTATAATTAAATAAAGGGAAAAAAAGAAAAGAAAGGCAATTCTAATGAAATTAAAATGCATACATTATGCTATATTTTATTCACAATTTTAAGTTTAATCACTGATTATCAAGACAAATCACCTGGTTGTTAGTATTATCCAAATCAATACTGCGTTATAAATTACAAAACACAATAGCTATTATAAATATTAGCAATACTTGAAATGAAAAAAATATGTTAAAAAATTTAATTTTTATTTACAAGCAATCACAAAAATTTATGCATTAATAATAATGAAAAAGAAATATTATTGAACAAAACAAATGCAATTGCTGTTTTTATTTTGCAGTAGCTTCTCTCATACACTAAAAAATGGGCACACAATTTTTATACCATATAGCAGTGGGTCACGAACCCATTTGAAAAATTTATAGTGGGGTCACAAGGCGGATAGAAATCCAACAAAACTTATTATATATAATCTAGTTATGTAACATCAACTTTCTAATTGAGGTCATGCTATTGTCTTTTTGCGTCCTTTGCATTTTTATGAGATTGCACTGCCATAAAGCTTGAATACCCACTGCCATATATTATAACAGTCATCGTCTTCACTGAGTACTAGAATGTTTTTGCAACGAAGCAATACAAAGTGCTACTTTTCTTGAAATTCAATTTTTTTTTTTTTGACATCTTGGGAACAATTACAGTACAAATATAACATACTCTACATGGTTTTGATGAAATAAACACTACTCTAAGAATCTTGCTCTTGACAGTCTCAAGAGGATAACCATGCAAAGGAATAAACTCTGCAAATTTAGGGAAAAGTAATGCAGAAATCCTAATCGGCTATTCAGCCATGCCATGGACAGGCCTTAATTTAAGCATATGATGGATGTATCATCTCTAAATTACTTAAACCACTTGTAAGACAGAAAATAAAAACTTCATTATTGGTAAAGTGTTTTACCTGATCAATAGGCTGAAATTCTTTTTCTTAACCGTTTGACTGCTACACGGCGCAAAAGCGCTGCGTTCATTTGTCCCGAAAACCGCGACACAGCACAAAAGTGCTGCGAGTTTCAGTGTGTGTCTGTTGCTTAATAATACAAAAAGAATTATTAAAACTGATTGATATTTGTCTAAATGAGAGTGTTTTATTTGACATCAAGTCAAAATATGTCCCGCAGTTTTCGTGCGTTCTTGCAAGAATTGCTTAGCAGTCAAACGGTTAATAAAGTACAGCTCCATGAAATTGGTTCACTCATTTTGAATAACCCTATACGTAAATGTTGAAAGTTAAAATTATTCAGTTCAATATCTCTACATTTAAATACCAAAACTTCAGCTAATATTCATTACATCTGCTAAATTCTTGTAAATTTTCGCATTTTAGAAGGAAATATCTTATTAATAAGGTGTAAAGCAAATATATACTGAAAAAAAGGGGGGTGCATGATGTCATGCTGCAATGGCTAAACCAGTTTAAAATTAGCCAGAGAGAATAAAAGATTTTTTTATTTCTTTTCCTTGCTTGTTAATGCTCTACCCTCCTCTCACTTTTTTTGCAAGTGTATGTGTATACGTGTTTTTAATCGTAGGTGAGGATGTCTTCTTCATTTCACTGTCAACTTCAGATTAATTTGAGCAAATGCATATCTGTACTAGGTCATTTTTTTTGGTAATCTTTTGCCCACAAAAAAATCTGGCAACATGTTTTGCTCATTTTGTGTTCAATCACCTGGAAAATTCTGCAGTTGTTTTCATGAGAAATACAAATGAAGCAATACAAAAAACAAAAAATCATTGAATCACACAAGCATCATTTTGAACTAGACTTTTTGTCATTGCCGGAGAGCGGCAGCTAAAAAATTTCTTCTTTACAAAAGTCATTAAGCTTACACATAAAGAAGTTATCGAGATTTTGTTAAAAAATCTCAAAAGAAGTGAACTCCTGGCCATTCACAGGGTTTTGAAGAAACTGAAGATATGAAAATATATGAGGGCAAGGCTTGGTGAATACCAGGGATACAGAAAACATCCCAGCATACACAATAAGTCTTTGTCCCATATTCATCAAATTCCCAAGCACTGTCTTGATGGACCATGCATTGTCATGCTGGAAGACATCTTGATGATAGTTTAGTTCCGTGTACTTAACTTCAGTTTCTGCTTCAAAGTGTCATTTCGGAATTAAACCTGCCATTCAGAAATGGTATTTTCTTGAATTTATTATCTGATTTAGTAGTAACAATTCATAGTACATAATTCCTTTGTCCCCTTGCACATACATACAGTGCTACTTTTTTCAGATGCAGTTCCTTCTTGATATTACTAAAGAGGGCTCTTTTAGCTTATACCATGATCTTTTTCTTGTAACGTGACTGCATAGTATCCACTTCTAGTCTCCAGCAATAAACCATTTAAAAAAAATTAGCTTTTTTATTTCTTTTCAGCAAAGAATCACATGCTGAAACTCAAGCAAACATATTCTGCTCTCTTAAAATATGCAGTATACATACGTTGTAGCAGTTTACATATCTAGTCTTCTTCAAATGGTCATGTACTGCATTTTTTGAAAGATTTAGTCAGTCTAAGAGTTTTTGAACAGTATTATGTGGAATTTCAGCAATAGCTTCTTTTAATAGGTTCTTGTTTACAAAGGATGATCCTCCAGAGCAGGCATTTTATTTGAGGTTGCTTCAAAAAATGTGAATGCAATAGCTTAAACTGCTTCTAACATTTACCCTCTTATTTAAAGTTCAGAATTACGTTATTAAAAAATCACCAAAATGAAACGTAAACAAATTTTTAAACATGGCATAGAATTAAAAATATTTCATTTTAATGTTAATTTTATAACATAATGCAATTTAATAATACTAAAAGTTTAATGAAATCCACAATGACAGCTGGCCATAAATCTGCCATTAAATTCAAGCATATATCGTCCCTACCATCTCTAAAGCTATCAACATATGATGAAAAGAAAAAAAAAAAAAAACCCCTCCTGGCAAGTGTGCAAGACCCTGTTCCCTCTAGTAGCAAACACAAATGTATAGGATTCCATAGCTAAAGCCCACCATCTCACCACTTCTCTGAGAGCAGAAGCAGTGGATATCTCCAAAACTCTTCCTGAAAACCAAAAGCTAGACTTCAAAGCTATATCCAGCATGTTTGAACTGTGCTTTGAAGAGATGTATTCAAAAGACTATAACAGGCTTCAGTTAAAATCTTGCTAACAGAAGATTATGTAAACACTCAAGAACTCGCACACAGATGTTTAAAGACTGTCTCATCTCACTTTTTCAGCCTACCCAACAGAAAAAAAAAAGGGGGGGAAATACATTCCCTGCAGTGCTTTGTTAATGGCATTCAGAATCCGGAGATACAGAAAGCCCTGAAAATGGTAGATGACAAGGATATAAAAATTGCTTTATTATATGCCATGTGATTTGAAGCAGCCCAGTAAGCAACACGCAGAGATCGCCACCCAATAAGAGCTGCTCATGTTCAGGAGCCAGTGGATCAGCTGACTGCTTGTGTATATGATTTAACCAGGAAAGTCAATGTTTTGACAGGGAACAAGAGTGGCAACAAACAAAACCTAAATTGCTGGAACTGTGGTGGCAAAGGCCACATATGAAGAACACCCAGAGCCACCGAAAATAAAACCACTCCCAAGGAAGGACACAGTAATTAGTGTGGCTGTTTCATGAAGTAGAAGTTGCCAGATATTGAGAAACCCCATTTTAAAGCACTTCAGATTTCTGCCACGAGTGGTGGCAGTAATGGACTTTTCAGAATGGGACATATCAGTGGAGTTCCTTGCAACACGACCATTGATACTAGAGCCAATGTTACTATCATTCAGAAAGATTTAGTTCAGAGTTGGAAGGTAAACACATCTGGATGTTACCGCATTACCCTACAGACTGTGAAAGCGATAAAATTAAAACTGATGGAAAACCATTATGACATATTAATATCACATTTGGAAATGTCATCTACCACCACATGGTATAGCAGATATTACTGAACCTTGCATGCTTGGATTAGATTTTCTAAGGAAATACAATTTTTCCTTGGACTTTAAAAATAACAGATTGCATTCTGCCTCAGAGAACAAACCATGTTTGGAAGAATACAGTTTTTATTTCCTGGATCCATAGCTGAAAATAGAAATTTCCAGTAAGGCATCATGGGCTATCCCAAGTACTGTAACAGCCTAATAGGAGTACTAATACCCTTTGCACTTGTTGTGTAATTTGAAGAAAAAGGCTAGAGGGCGCTGTTGCTCGCTTAGTTGTAAGAGAATAAAGTTTGTTCATGTTGAAGGCGGCGGCCTAAGAATACGCTCTGTATATAGTAATTAAAATATTGTCAAAAATGAA